TCTGATAATGTTGTAAGGTAGATGCTATTTCTCTGATAATGTGAGATAGATGTTCTTCCACAAGCTACTTACAAAGGACCTTAGACAGACCAAGGAACTTGGCCAAGGTGTAAGGCTAAGATGTGGATCTGTGTCTGCCTGATCTAAAGTCTATGTTCTTTCCACTCTACCCACCAAAGCATGTAGAATTCTGTTGATTTGACATGGAGACAGTAGACCAACCTGGAAAATGCTAATCATCATGTCCTTATATCTCCAGTAACCATTGTCTAAATCTACTTTTTGACACAGTCAGAAGAGCAAACCATCTGAGTTTAAGATTGCTGACAAAAATCTGCAATACTGGTATTTTGCAAAAGAAAATTTAAATGTTTTATACACTGGGTCTCTAAGAAGCATAGCAGAATTTCTTTTAAATAAAGGTCTAGCCAGGCATACACTTTGCAAGGTGAGAACTAAATCTTATCTTCCTGCAAGGCTCGGCTGTGGGGCTGATTATGGTTAGGGCCAAAGCTTTTCTTCCTAACCAGGTTAGTGTGCCAGATTCTACACAATAAAGCTTAAAAGCAACATGCATCATTAAAGACTCTCACTTGAAAGTGACAGAAATCCGATTTGAATCAATATGGAAAAAGGATTAGTGATCTTACAAAATCAAAGAAGGGCTGAACATCAAAACCACCTGAAAGGCAGAGACTGTGTCCCATGAGTCAAAAGAATTTCAATGCTCCCAGGTCTCTTTTCTCTCTCCTACTTTCTGTCTCTCATTTGCTGTCTCTTGCTCTGTGCCAAGTTCTTCTTGCACCGAGGCTTTCTCCATGTGGCAGGAAATATGATCACTCACAGTTCCCGAGTTTTACATCTCAATTCCATCATAGGGTAGGGCTGTCATCTCATACAAACTAGTTCTCCCTCCCCAAGAAACAAATAAACAACCCGAGTAGAACATCTTGGTTTGGTTGCCCAGTTGTGGAGTACTCAACACTTTCAAAGGAAGCAGATTTGCTCAGAGAACCGCATGATTGCAGTAGAAAGAAGAGCAGTTTCCAGAAGAGCTGTTTTCCCAGAAGTCAGGAGGTGATTGGTAAAAGAACCAGTAAGTACACTCCATGAGATTATCTTGTGTCAGTGACTTTTAAAAACAGAGATAGTATTTCTGTATAATAAAACAATATTTTGTTTAATTGATGGATTAAATTTTTCATTTGTTAATACTCTTATTGTAAAAAACATTCAAGATCACTTAAAGGGATATATAAAATACACCAGTTACCAATAATATATGCCAGTAAGTCATAAACTACAAATTATATGAGAGTCAAAAAGTTAAAACAAACATGGAGGCAAAAGTAGAAGTAGAAATTAATTAGCTGAAAAGTGCAATCACACTGTTTACTTTGAGCTACAACTTTTGCTCTATAAAAGGGAATGATAAGACAATTCATGGTACCCATAAAATAAAAACAAATTTATTTCTGAAAATGACCAGGACTAGTCCTTATAGTAGGTCGAAAAAAGAAATGTTCCTGAGCTGCTTCATAAAGTAGAGAAAGTGTATTCCAACAACACAAGATCCATAGGAGAATTAATAGAGAAATTCTCAATACAAACCCAGGGCTCCACACCCAGTACAATCCAAGAACAACAGATCTGCAGGGGACAAAAAATCTGTTCTGGAAATACATCTCTTGGCTCTTAAGGGATTTAATCCAGTGATAGACTTCATGCATTCACTTAGTGAACAAGTATTGTGGTGTCCCTACTAATTGCCAAACATGAATGTTGGAGATATAACGGGAACAAAATATGAAGGAACAAATGGAATGTATGCCTTTCCTAAATCATTCTTGGGCATTGCTTCTCTTAGTTGAGCTTTTAATAACAACAACAAAAAGTAACCTGAAAAACAAAGAATTAAAAAATGTACTCTCAGACTTCCTGGGTGGACCAGTGGATGAGAATCCATCTGCCAGTGCAGGGGACATGGGTTCAGTTCCTGGTCTGGGAAGATTTCACATGCTAGGGAGCAACTAAGCCCGTGTACAACAACCCTGAAGGCTGAGTGCCCAGAGCCTGCAATAAGAGAAGACACCGCAGGGAGAGAAGCCCGTCCACCACAACTAGAGGGCAGGTCTCACTTGCAGCAATTAGAGAAAGCAGGTGCATAGCAATGAAGATCCCTGCAACCAAAAATTAATAAATAAATAAAAAATTTTAAAAATGTACTCTCTGGCAACTGGCTAGCAACATTCTATTTTGCCAATTAAGGGCACAATCATATGGCTCCTGCAGGGAAGAGCTAGGATTAGAATAGATAACTTGGGAAGAACAAAGAACTTAACAAAGACATTTTCCCTGAAGCCATTCCAGTTCCTCCTGGAGGTAAGTGAGGGAATTTTTGTAGTCAGAGCCAAGATCTTTCTTAGAAAATGATGACTGTCAAAATGTTCTAACTTTCTCCACCAGATAATTTGACAATTATTTTAGTTGACAAAAAAAAAATCATAAGGCAGTATAAGTATATTTGAATGCCAATCTCAGCATACTAAGGTCCCTATAAAACACTCAAGAGCACCAAGTTTTTATCTACTCTCTGATACAGCCTCCAAGAGGGAATATTTGTCAAATACACATCCAGGTAAACGGACAAGACATCATGCTACATTGAATACTAATAATAAAGACTGGGAGTTAGCCACCAAAGAATAATTTTGAAGTTCTATTTTGGGGGGCTCCCCTGATAGCTCAACTGGTAAGGAATCCAACTGTAATGCAGGTGACCCTGGTTCAGCTCCTGGGTTGGGAAGATCCCCTGGAGAAGGGAAGGGCTACCCATTTCAGTATTCAGGCCTGAGTCCCAAAGAGTTTGACATGACTGAGAGACTTTTTCACTTTCTTTTTTGGGAAGGAGAGACAATAATTAAGTCAATTGCCTGTTAAAGATCCTACATTGTGTTTACAAAATTGTACCAGACATGTCTATAAAAGTACTTTCCAGAAATCTGTAGTGCAGACCTGTGGACTAGCTCTCCCTTTTTAAAACTTAAGTATAGCTGATTAACAATATTGTGTTAGTTTCAGATGTACAGCATAGTGATTCGGTTAGAGTATAGAATTAACAGATACAAATTACTATCCATAGGATAGATGTGCAACAAGGGTTTACTGGACTAGTTCCTTTTTGAACAGACTGTATCCAGATAGATCTCCCTGGTATCCACAAAACAGATATCCCAGAGAACTCTCTACGTTGTTACATCATTCATCAAAACAGAGTTACACAGCAGTGACTGTATATTATTATTACTATTATTATTACAATTTTAGCACCACCAGTCACTAGGTTAAGCTGATCTATGAAACTACTTGTAATTCTATAAGGGTATAACTCATTCCTTGACTTGTCGAGAGAGAATGCAGCTAATTAATACAATCATTGAGCCAATTTACTGGCTCCATTTATGAATGAAATTAACCTACCTGTTCTTATCTACTCTTCTTTTTGCAGGTAGTTTTGTGGTAAAGTGTCTAAATCTACATTGAAAATCTGTTATGTATATTGAAGTGATCAAGCTTGGCCCATGGATCTCTGTTAAATCAAAAGAAGACAATGAATGAAGCACAGGTCTGATTTTTCAAAAGACACAGTCAAAGACATTTAAATAATAAGGAGGCTACGTTTTCTGATACAAAAGACATCACTTCCTGGCTACATACAATTTCTGAATCATTTAGGCACTTAATATCTCAGAATGCCAGTTACCTCATGTGAAAAATAGAGATAAGAATAAGGCCTCCCAAATAAGTTGTCAGGAGAGTCAATCTAAAGGCTCTACTGAAAATGTTCGTTGAACAGTAGGGCATTGTGATAATTTTTCATGGTCAAGTTACAGTAACACATGAATAAAATTCTCAAGAACAAACTTGATATTTGATTGCAGCTTCTGTTGCTTGATATAAATATTGATAGCCACAATTCTCAGGGATTGCTAATATTCTCCAAAGTCAGATTGCAGATATTATGTACCTTCTGGCTGCAGTATACTTATTCTTGGCAAGTATTCTTGCCAAAAAATAGAACTTGACTCTCATCAAGTGTCTAGATATAGTGACTGACGTACAGAAAATCTTTACAAAGCTTAGAGAGCCATCAGTAAATTCTAGACTAAGGGAAACCCTCTAGGACAAATGACCTTGTTTCTTTCATAAAGAAACTTCAAGGAATACAATAAAGAGGGGAAAAAAAAGATGGAGGAGGAAACTGGAGATTTAAAATGATTTAAGAGGTACACAAATCAATTGCAAATGTATGGCATAGCACCCAGTTCACTCAATAAATCCTTTTTAGAAGTTAAAAAGAGACAGGGAGAGCCCAGCATTTAAGGTAGACTTCATCAAAATCTGAAAATATTTGTTACTCAAAAGACATCTTAAGGGAAGGAAAAGACATCAGCAAAGCACATGTAATAAAAGACTTCTATCTAGAATATAAAATGAATTCTCAACACTTAAGAAAAGAAATTAATTTGAAAGTGCCAGTTTAAAAAATGGACGAATGAACAGATACTTCATCAAAACAACATGGATGGAAAATAAGCAGATGAAAGATGATCAACATCATTATTCACTAGGGAAATGTGAATTAAGACCATAATGAGATCCTACCATGTACCTATCAGAATGGCTAAAACTAAAAAAAACAAAAACAAAAACAAAAAAACCCCTGACAATATCAAATACTGGGGCAGATGCAAAGCAACTGAAACTCTTATACATTGCTGCTGAGCCTGCAAAATGGTTATCCTAGAAAATAATTTGGCAGTTTCTTACAAAGTTAAACTACACTTGTGAGTCAGCAGTCATACTCTTAGGTATTTAGCTAAATTTACCTAGAAATGTCTGTTCACACAAAAATATATATGTGAATGCCTGTAGAGGCTTTAATCATAATATATCAAAACTGAAAAAACCCACATATGGATGGTTAAACAAACTGTGGTATGTCCACACAATGGAATGCTGCTGCTGCTGCTGCTGCTGCTAAGTCACTTCAGTCGCGTCCAACTCTGTGCGACCCCACAGACAGCAGCCCACCAGGCTCCTCCATCCTTGGGATTCTCCAGGCAAGAACACTGGAGTGGGTTGCCCTTTCCTTCTCCAATGCATGCCTGCATGCTAAGTCACTTCAGTCACATCCGACTCTGTGCGACCCCATGGACGGCAGTCCACCTACGCTCCTCTGTCCACGAGATTCTCTAGGCAAGAATACTGGGGTGGGTTGCCATTTCCTTCTCCCATACAATGGAAGGGTACTCAGCAAAAAAAGGGAGAAATTACGAATTACGTAATCAATATAAATGAATCTCTGTACTTTAAATGTGTTTGAAATTTTCTCTAATACAGCATTTATTTTTTATCTTTTTTATCATGAATCTTGTTTTATTATAGCAATTAACCTAATAGTAATTCTTAAAAATGCAGCATACTGTATATTGTTTGACATAAGTAAACATACTTATTTAAACAAACTTTGGCCACCTGCTGCGAAGAACTGACCCATTGGAAAAGACCCTGATGCTGGGAAAGACTGAAGGCTGGAGAAGAAGGGGACGACAGAGGATAAGGTGGTTGGATGGCATCATCTGTGTGATGGACATGAGTTTGAAGAGGCTCCGGGAGTTGGTGATGGACAGGGAACGCCAGCATGCTGTAGTCCCTGGTGTAGCGGAGTCAGACACGGCTGAGAGACTGGACTGAACTGAACTGAAGTTGCCCTACTTTTTGTAATGAAAGATTTTTACCAAATATTGAGTAACAATTTAATCCATCATCTTTATAGTTCTTACTATGGTCTTTTGGCCCAAACTCTGAGTACTGCTCCCTATAGTGACAAGATTTAAAAAATAAAAATTGTGGACTCTTTCACATGGAAACTTAAAGTTTGTTTTTTCTTGTAATAAGAACACTTCATAAGGGATCTACCCTTTAACAAATTTTTAAATGCATGATACAGTACTGTTAGCTGTAGGCACAATGTTGTAGAGCAGATTTCTAGAATTTATTCCTCTGGTATAACTGAAGCTTTATACATGGTGAATAGCAGTTCCCATTTCCCCCTCCCCCAAACCCTGGCAACCACTTCTGGGTTTACATATTATACATCCAAATTAATTAGAATCAGTTTATTAAAGAGATATCAACATTCCCATGTTCATTATTACATTATTCATAATAGCCAAGATCTGGAAACAACCTAAATGTCCATTGACAGGTGATTAGATTAAAAATGTGGTAGATACATACAATGGAATATTTTTCAGCTTTAAAAAGAAGGAATTCTTGCCTTTTGCAGCAACATGGATGAACTCAGAGGGCATTATGTTAAGTGAAATGAGCCAGTTGCAGGGCAAGTACTGCACAATTCCACTTATATGAGATGTCTAGTGATACTTTTAAAAGAATGGACAATAATTTAAAATATAGAACTCTTCACTCTATAATTTAAAAAAAATATATATATATATATATAGAAAAATAAATCTCTGCCAGGGAAGCCAAGACAAATATGGAAATTTAAAGTGTGAGTTGCTTTTTAAATTCCCAGATGGTACCAGTCTTCACTGGAAATCCATCATGCCTGGCATCAGTTCTTATTTCCAGACACTTACTACACCTCTAAACTAGTTCTAGTTTGATCCTAAGGTATGAAGTCCTGAGCTTCTGAGACATTATTATTACAGATTTGCCTCATAGTCTTACATTAACCTAAAATATTTTAGTGTTCAGTACAAACCATAGGCCTCTGTATATTTCTCTCATTGTTGCTGTCTGTTCTTAGAAATGTTCTCTGCTTTCTGGTTTTAGAGCGCTTTTTCTTCTAGTTAGAATGACTGTAAGAGACGGGAAAGGCTACCCACTCCAGTGTTCTGGCCTAGAGAATTCCATGGACAGTCCATGGGGTCGCAAAGAGTCGGACACGACTGAGCAACTTTCACGTTCACTTTTCATACCAGTTGTACAAATTTTATTTCATGGAACCCTGCTTCAGACTGTGGAAAATGCAAATGAATTCACAGGGGAAGATAACAGACACATGTATATGGTCTTATTACAGAGTCCTCAATAGTTGGAGTCAGTCCTCTTACGATGGAGTCACTTCTGTTTTTAAAAAGTCCTCCTGGTGTATATCGTCTTCAGGTTTTTAGTACGCATCTGTTCATTCCTAATGAAGTCACGGAGGACAAGAGTCGGAGCAGGAGCGTCAGGGCCTCGGGCAGAGGAACACCATCAACCCGTGGACCAGGGCCAGCCTGGCTCAGGCCAGAGCAGGAGGCAGCCAGCAGCAGCCAGGCCAGCAAGACTTGGCACGGGTGCCCGGGTCGTGCAGCCAGAGGCAAACAGCTTGGGGGAGGTCAGCGCCGAGCAGGGCCTCTCGGAGCTCACGGGACAGAAGGCTTGGCCCGGCCCTGCCCTTCGCTGTGACCAGGCATCTGTGACGTGGTTGTATTTCAGGCACTGATTCCAGCTGCCTTGCTGTTCTCTTCTGTCTCCAGCACTTTTGAATAACCGTAAATTCCTTAGTTTTTGCCCCTTCAGTAGCTCATCCTGAATCTAAAGTTGCTGTTAATATTAATCAAATATTTGACTAATATTAATTAGGGCAAATTGCAGAAACTACTTCTATGAGATATGTGGGCTATTTTTTTTTTAAGTTTAAATGCCTCATTTCCAAACATGATCTTTTTCTTGTATTAAAACATAGTAATTTTTTTCCTGTGCAGTTTATAGTAGAACATTTTATGAAATACTTTATTTAAATGGACTTATGAATGAAATGAGACACTTAAATCTATGGTTCTCTAAATCACAAAAACAACAAAACACTATTATGATATAGATGACTTTTTGAAGTATCTTTCAGTCTAAAATTAGAAATTAAACTACCTTTCTAACTGACTTCAATCTGGGCAACACTATAAAAATATGAAGAAAGTGGTTTGTTTCCCTTCCAGGAACTACTGATCCCCACAATCATAGGTATGTTTCTTGTTCCACTGATCTCCCTGGTCCTTAACCCACAAATCCTTAATGCCTATAGAATGGATTCAGGACCTAGTTCCTAATCTTCTCACCACCAAAGCTTCCCAAACAGATAATTCCTTTTCCTCTTCTCTCCATGTACACAGAAACAACATTATAAATGATCATTTCATTGCCACCCTGAGAAGGCATAATATCACTTACAAGAAAAGAAGCTCAATCTTTCATTAGCCTCCGTAGTATACAATGTGTAGTGGCTATACCCAGATGGAGCATCCTGGCAGCCTCATCAGGAATTGCTGGTTGTGAGCCGTGCAACTACAGAAAGAAACCCTTATAAAAACTCTGAAAAGGGGGGCATCAGTTCCACACAATATGTTGCTCTGTTTAATGTGAAGTGTGGCCTCAAAGTGGTACAGGTGAATTTATTTACAGAACAGAAACAGAGTCACAGATCTAGAAAACAAACATAGTTACCAGAGGGGAAAGGCGGGGAGGGATAAATTGGGAGGTTGGGATTGACATATACACACTGCAAAAATAAAATAGATAATTAATAAGGACCTACTATAGAGCTAGCATAGAGCTCTAATGGCCTACATGGGAAAAAAAATCTAAAAAAGAGTAGATATATGTATGTGCATAACTGGGTCACCTGAAACTAACACAACATTGTAAATCAATGATCCACCAATAAATTTTTTTAAAACCTGTGTCAGACAGCTTGCTGAGTTTTAGCTGTTCTGACTCTGCGGTGAACACCATGACCTTGTACAAGCGTTCAGTGCCTGCATTTAGTGTCTTTATTTATAAAATGATGGGTTAATCATCTTTAAGATCCAACTTATCTGCTCATCTTATTCCTAAAAAAAAGGAAAATACAAAATCAGCGGACCCCAGCTCTGCTTTCTGTTCTGTGGTTCTGTGTTGTGAGACTTGGAGGTCAAACTCGATCGAATGCTGCTTGCCCCTATTTCCTCAAGGGCTAAGTAGCGATAACTTGACTAACTCATGAGATCGATAGTGAAGTTATAATAATTGGTTATATAAACAGCTTGAAATAATTTATTATAATATAATATATTATACAAATGTAAGGGATTCTCCACTTAAAATTATGCTCAGTTGCTCAGTTGTGGCTGACTCTTTGCGACCCCATGGACTGTAGCCCGCCAGGCTCCTCTGTCCATGGAATTCTCCAAGCAAGAATACTGGATGGAGCATGCACAGGGACCCATAGGGAATAAAAAGGACTTCTTTACCACTTCCCCCCTCTTACCCTCCACCCCCTCCCATTTCTGATCCTGAAGTCCTTATCTTTTCAGGCATCTAGGTCAAACTCAACGGTGCTTTAATGTTGCCATTTATATCATCCCAAGTCAGGGGTCTCCTAAACCATGAGTTTGTAAAACAGTTAGATTAGATGCATTTACTTTCATGTATTTTGCATCAAGGCCAGTCCAGAAAAGTACTAGAGTAGTCCCTTGGTATCCGTGGGGCGTTGGTTCCAGGACTCTCTGTGGATACCGAAAATTCCAGGATGCTCCAATTCCAGAGTTGGCATGCCATATCTGGTAGCTCTCCATCTGCCCTAGATTAAACTGACTGACCTCAGATCCTATCTACTGTATTTATTGAAAGAAAAATCTACACACCAGTGGATCTATGCAATTCACACCCATGTTGTTCAACAATCAACTGTATTTTTCTTTTCTTTCCAAAGTCTGCTTTACTCTATTTTACAAACGCTTATGTTCTTTAACAACTGTGAAAAGCATTTAATCAAATGTGGGAAGCAATTGAAAGTTATTCTAGTGCTGAGGAATCAGTCAATTCTATTTCTATAATGTCAAGGAACATTATTGTGTGACCTCACTAGAAAAGGAAGAGATAATGTTGTTTGTAATGTTTCTCTGCATAAAATATGCTGAGCAGTGAGTGAGCAGAATCAGGGTGTGGCTGGTTGCTTTAACTCGACACAGATTAGGCCCCCAAAAAAGATGACGAGGCATTTGACTTGTGGTGACATAGGCTTTAATGAATGACCTAAGTGGGCTCGCTCTAGACCTCTCTATTTCTGGTTGGAAATGAAATTAAGCTTCTGATAAGTAAACTGCAAGGCCATTTATGGTTAATTTAATTTTTTATGTGTGTTTGTTTTCAATATCCTGTTAATTAAATCACAGTGTATGGTAGTCGTCTACCATCACGGTGTATGATCCTCAACTCGGATCCTGGATCACAAATTTATTTTGCTGTCCCTTCTACTCACAAATATGGATTATATGAAAATCCATAATGTCTTGGG